ATCGGCGGCGGCATCGTCCACGGCATGTAGTGGGCGCGGAGGGAGGCGAGTGCTAGCAGCGGGGCAAGGCGGAATAGGGCGGTTGCTGCGGTGGGGAAGGGGTAGGGAGAAGCCCCTTGTGGATGGCGGGGCGAGGCGGAATGGGGCGAATGCGGCGGCTGTAGATGGCGAGGATGGGCAGCAGGCGGTGGCGGACTCGCGGCAGTGCTCGAGCTTGTGCTCACGTCCGCGCTTGCCTTGCTGTTAGCACTTGCCTCCCTCCGCGCCCACGCCACGCCGTGGACGACGACGACGCCGACGAGGATGGACGATGCCGGCGACGGACAAACGTCGGCGCGGGCGGTGGCGGACTGGCGTACTGACGACGGTGCCGCCGGGCGGACGAAAGACGACGACGCTATGGACGGAAGAGACGGAGTGGCACGGAACAAAAAAATTCGTCTCTGATGGTGTATTTTAAAAGTAGCACGAATTAGATGGCATATCCTGAAGCAGTGCGAATTCGATAGCATATTCTGAAAGTTCTTGGCCTCACTCCCCTTCGTCTCTCCCCCTCTCCTCTGTCCTCTCTCCAGGCGCGAGTGAGGAGGGGCGGCGCGCGGTGGCCGGCGGGTGAGGAGGGGCGGCGCGCAGCGGCCGGGCGAGGAGGGAGGAGGACAGCGAGCGGGGGCAGGGTGGGAAGGTCGCCGCCGCCCGGTCTTCCCTTTCTGCTCCTCGCCGCACGAACGCCCGCTTGGACCCTATCTGCCGTACCAACGGCTAGCCCACCACCGAGAATGCGGTGTACAACAATCCAAGTGACACCAACCCCAGGTTCTTGTCCTACACTAGCTCAATCGAAATTTGACGCCATGGAAGCTAGCGTGCATGTAGATCAGTTTTGAGAAAATGACTCTGTTTACTACTGTGTTGATGGTGCTCTGCAGGTTCTAGGCGCCGTGGTAGGTGAAGAAGATGAAGAGCAAGACCGAGCTTAGTAGGTACAGGTCTCGGGGTCTGGGACGTCACCGCCACTATGCTGCGTCCGTCGGAGACCAGCAACACGACCTCCTCCTTGTTGTGGGGCCACAGCGAGCTCGGCTACGGCAAGAGCAGGCCATCTCCCATGGTGGCCGAAGAGGGCGCCGGGGTTGGGGTGATTTTGGGAAGGAGTTGGTGGTGGCTTGGCCAATGATGCGATGGCCTCGGAGGCCGCCACACAACCCTCGTCTCCCGCCTCCCGTTTTGCGAAGGCCAACTTCGCGGCGCCCACCAGCTACGCGCGAATCCGGCTAGAGGTGGCCAAACGGGCCAGGCCAAACGGGCGGCCCGGGGCACGGCCGAACCTGTAGCAGGCACGGCCCGGCACGGCCTGCTACAGTAACGGGCCGTGCCGGCACGGCACGAGTAGCCGTGCCGTGCTTGGGCCGCTGGCCGAGCCCGCGGGCCGGCACGGCACGGCACGGCACGGCCCGTTTCGCCGGCGGCCCGTCAGGCCGAAAGCGGGCCAGCGGCGCACTGACAGGGCGGGCGGCGGTCGAATGGGAAGGCGCCACGTGGCACTAACGGCTATTTGACCGTTCAAATTTGAAAATAACCGTTGGGAGGCTAAAAAATTCATAAAAATTTCGAAAAAATTCCAAAAAATCTCAAATTTCGCCCTATAAATAGGGCATGAACCCCAGCCATTTCTCCTCATCCCACACTCCTCATCTTGTGCTCTCAAGTGTTTTAAGTGCTCTCTTTGTTCTCAAGTGTGCATTTTTTTTGATTTTGACAAAATTTGCTCAAATTTTGTCAAAAATCAAAATTAGCTTCGTAGTTCAACAGTTTGATCGCAGAGGTTTGAAGAGCTCGCGGTTGGAAAGATGTAAGTAATATTCAAATTTGTGTATTATTTGTATTGTGTTTGTGAATTCAATAAATATTCGAAAATTTGTTTATGTCGGTTTAAATTTTCAGAATGGATCCGAACTTTCCATACCAGTCGCCGTCGTTCACCTTGGGTGATTTCGACCCCAACTACATGTCGGGGTTTGACGATACCTCCGGATCGGCTCCAACTCCACCATCTGTGGAGGAGGTACCGGTTCATACGGCTGTCGTTGAGGAGGTACCGGTTCAGGCGGCGACAGCTTCGGAAGGATTTTCCGGAACCGCGAGCGGAAGTGTTTCGACACACACCGGCTCGAAGAGATCGAGAACCTCCGGTGTGTGGCAAAACTTCGACGAGATAAAGGAAACATGCCCCGACGGAAGGGAGGTATCGAAAGCCCGTTGTAGAATATGTAGGCAAATTTTATTTGCTCGTTCTTCTGGTGGTACAGGTCACCTCAAGCGCCATGCGGAGTCGTGTGCCAAGAAGCAAGGAATACAACTCCGGCAGCAGCAACTTATGGTAAACCCAGACGGTACGGTACGCAGTTGGGAATACGATCCCATGGTTGCTCGGGAATCTCTTGTCCGGTTAATCGCCAGGCAAGATTTACCCCTGAACTTTGGGGAGTCCCCTGCTTTTGAACATTACATTCAGCAATCTCATAACCCTAGGTTTAAAGCTGTGAGTAGGCAAACATCAACTAGAGATTTAGAGAATGTTTATCACAAGGAAGCAACTGCACTTAAGGAACTGTTTAGTACATGTACTTTCTCTGTTAGTGTTACTTCAGATATATGGAGTAGTAGAGCTAGAGAGGATTATCTTAGCGTAGTTGTTCATTTTGTTGATGATGATTGGCAATTACAAAAGAGAGTTTTAGGGCTTAGGTTAATAGATGTCTCACATACAGGAGAAAACATAGCTGAAAGAATTAGGGAAGTAATTAATGAATTTAATCTTGCTGATAAAATATTTGCTGTCACCCTAGATAATGCATCTGCTAATTCTAGGGCTATTGAAATATTGCAACCTTTATTTTGTGTGTATGCTCAATCTTTTCTACTCCATCAGCGTTGTGCATGTCATATAATTAATTTGATTGTTAAGACTGGCATGAAGAGGGTAGGTGACCACATCGATGCTGTTCGTCAAGCAATCGCGTGGTTAACTGCTTCTAACCCACGGATTGCTGCATGGAAGAGGTTTTGCAATGCGGCCGGTGTGAAAGCTCGTAAGTTTGCCACCGATGCAGAGCATCGGTGGAATGCAACGTATTTAATGTTAAAAGTTGTTTTACCTTATAGTAGTTTACTTTCTGATTTTGTTCAGTCACGTGGTGGCCCAAGAAACAGTGACGGGTCTTCAGTACTGAACGAGCATGTTTGGGCAATTGTCCAAAAATTTCACTAATTTCTAGAAACTTTTTATGATTGTACTCTAACTTTGTCACAAGTTTATTATCCAACTGCTAATATAATTTTGCACAACCTTCTTGAAATTGCTAATTTATTTAAAGAATACGAAAATGATGACGTTCTAACTGAACCTGTCTTTCACATGAAACAAAAATATTTGAAATATTGGAAAAATATACCTATGTTGTATGCTTTTGCTTTTGTTTTAGATCCTAGGTGTAAATTAAGGGGATTGTCTGCTATTTTATCACTTATTGGAGATACTATAGGTGTAGATTATAGTTCTTTTTATACTGAGGTTAGACGTAAATTATATGAGGTTTTTGGAAGATATGAAGTAAAGTTTCAGGAAGTTCGCCAGCAGAGACCCCCTCCTATCCCCACTACAGGTAAGAAGAAGATACAGTGGGGTAGGATTTGGGGTGGATCGTCTTCAATCCAAGGTGGTGGCAGTTCGTCGGCTACAAGTGGAGACGCCTCTTCGCATGTTGTGGCCGAAGAGTTGTCCGGTTATTTGGACAGCGACGCCATCCACCACGAAGCTCAAGATTTCAACGTCCTCGGGTGGTGGAATGACCACAAGATAACATATCCTGTGCTTTCAAAACTAGCACGGGATGTGTTGACGGTGCCCGTGTCGACGGTGTCCTCCGAATCGGCCTTCAGTCTATGCGGCCGAATCATCGAAGACCGGAGGACGACTCTGCGCAGCGACCACGTCGAAATGCTACTAAGCGTTAAAGACTGGGAGCTTGCTCGACAACATGCCCAATACACTGCGGACAACCAAGAATTGGCCGCCCAGTTCGAGCAACTCTACCTGGATCCAGACTAACCCCAGTAGAATTTTGTTAGAAGTAGTTCTGACCTTTGAGCTGTACTCTTTTCTTTGTCATGGTTTTCTCATTTTCCCCTATGAGTTTTTACATGACAAAGTTTTTAACGAGGCAGCATGTATCATTGTATCCTGTAATGATATAAACATCAATAAAGGTCATTACTATTTTTAACAAATTCTTTTGCAATATTTTCGCAAGTGTGGATTTATCTTTAAATTATTTCAAAATAATGAATCACAATCTATATTTTTAAATTTTTCAACACAACAAAAAAATACCATTTTTTCTTTTTTTTAACATTAGCAAATCATTACTTTTTTTAAAAACTTTTATTTCCATTTTTTAAATACCATTTTTTCATTTTTTAACATTAGTAAATCATTACTTTTTTTTAAACATTTTATTTCCATTTTTAATTTTTTTTTCCTTATACATTTCCTTTGCTTTTTTTAAAAAAAAAAACACTGTGCACTGGGCCTCAGCTGCCGGCCTGCCTTCACGGGCCGCCGTGCCCCGAACGGCCCGTGGGCCGCAGGCGTGCCGTGCCGGCACGGGCACGGCCCGGCCATCCACGGGCCGTGCTTGGGCCGGCGGCTCGGCACGTGGGCCGGCACGGCACGGCCCGTTTCATCAGCCGTGCCTAACGGGCCGTGCCGAAACGGGCCGTGCCGGACCCGTGCCCGTGCCGGGCCGGGCCGTGCCGCCCGTTTGGACACCTATAAATCCGGCCATACGGCTGGATGGGCACAGGCGATCCATCCTAGATGTGACGCAAGGGATGACGTAAACGAGCAGCAAAGGTCAATGGAAGTATACGTAACGTGGCCAGCAGCAAAGCCACGCACTAAACCGCACCCGACACGCAAGAAGACCCAATGGTGGTATATCCATGACCGACCCGTCCTTTCCATAGCAAGCACGAACCGACTTGTTTTCCACCGCCAACCAGGGCAGCCACGCCGGTATATATGGTCTTCCCCCTCGCCCCTCTTCCTCTCTCTCTTCGTCTCGTCACGATTTCTCCTCGGGGTCCTCTTCGATTCGTAAGGTTCGTTCGTTCTTCCGCTCCCTTCTTACTACTTCCTCTGTTTCATAATATAAGATTTTTTTAGCATAGCTCATATTCATTTAGATGTTAATGAATCTAGACATATGTGTTTAGATTCATTAACATATATATGTATGTGAGCAATGCTAAAAAGTCTTACATTGTGAACGGAGGGAGTAACGTTTAGTATAGGAGTACAAGATGGGTTGATGGTTGATTACATTGGAAGATTAAATTACGTTTGTTTTGGGATGGAGTAGATTTTGATTTTCAGTTTTCGTCCTGTTTTGTTTTTATGCGCCATACATATTTCATAGATCAGGATCTATTTCCGTTACTTTAGCTGATTTAAGCCGCCGCACCTTATTAATATTGTCTTCTCCATCTTGCTATGGTTGGTAGTTACCTCTCCTGATGTGTTGGGGCTTTTCTTGATATGATTTGCCTTCTCAGGATGGTGGTGGTAGTTACCTCTCCTGATGTGTTGGGGCTTTTCTTGATCTGATTTGCCTTCTCAGGATGGTGGTGGTGGTGGTGGTTGAATTTTATCACGTCTCAATAGGTTTTATAGATTAGATCTGTTTTTCCTCATAGTTGTGTCTAGATCTGACTTGAACCCAAAATTGGTATTTTTCTGAACCTTTTTCTTATGTTAGTTTTTTCTCATCTGACTTGAATAATCCCTGTTAAATTGGTAGATTTATATACCTTCTTTCATGGTAGAAAGAACTATTGCACGCACAGTTTTAGCCTAATTCTAATTCTGTTATTCTGTTCCTGCAGATATGATGAGATTTTTGCTTCATCCGTGTTGCTCACTTTGCAACTGGTGGCCTGTGTGCGTAATTGATCTTTTGGGTGTGGAGCTGTAACCATGTACGATGATTTCTTCGTTAATGTCGCCTACAGCCAGACTCCTAAGATTTTCCTACTATGCACAGATGCTTTCCTTCCTTGCAATGGTGCCATGAGCATTCCTTCATCTAGGAATCGTGATGGTGATGATGTTTCTTGTTTGATGATTGATGTGCTGCTAATTAGATGATGTATGTCCATATCTCCCAACCAGAAGATAAGGTAATGACCTCGGTAAGCTAATGCACATGTATGTGCATGTTGTATAATCATGTTGTACTATATACTATGTATGATGTATCTAGATTTAGGGTAGGAAGGCCTTTGCCATGTTGGGTGCGCTCGCTTGGCAGGCCACAAGACAATAAAAAGATATTTTCCTTGTGTTGTTGGGGTGGAGATCGCACGGGGAACTATTCATTTTATTTTGCCCCGGGTTCTTCACCCCGACCTGGTGTCCCTGTCTCCACTGTGTTCTCTCTTATGTCCTGGTGTTCATGTGGTGCGTGACTGTGCGCTTTCATGAGTCCTACCATGCGGATAATCACATGTCGAAGATCATCAACGATACATCTCATGGATAACTACATGTCGAAGGTACACATAATTTACTGCCTTTCAGTCCTTCATGTGGCTAAATATCAATCATTGTTAACTTGCTCGAGACGATACTGCAACTAGCAATTTCAGCTAATTTAAACTCAACTAAACTAACTTGTTGCATTCCACACTGAAAGGTTACTGCCTTTCAGTCCTTCATGTGGCTAAAATATCATTTATTGTTAATTTGCTCGAGACAATACTGCAACTAGCAATTTCAGCTAATTTAAACTCAACTAAACTAACTTGTTGCATTCCAAACTGAATACGGTCGGTCTTACTGTCATGCTTAGGTTGTACTTTTGTCCCCGATATAACCTGCATGTAGCTTAGCTACCATGCCTTGAGCTAAGATGAAAATCTATAATATTAAATTTGGCCTTAATTAAGTAGCCTGCCACTTCGCTAGACAACCATACGTGATTAGGGCTTAACATACCAAGTTTTCTATTCACTCCACATTTGTAGATGCTTAATTGTTTTCATTTCCTTGCGTCGCCACAAAAGCTAAATCATGTAGTATCTCAATCGTTCGGTATTGACTAATCTCCTGAACTTCATTGTCGTTTTGCTGATGTACATTTGATTGTTGACTATTACAATCACAAATGTATGTGGTGTTCATTTGTCAAGGGGTGCTTCATTCCAATTGCTGTTGTATATGAGTTTTGTTGTACAAAAAATGAGCAGTTGCTGGACAGAGCTTGCTGTACATGCATGTCCACAGCTGTTATCATTTGAGTATGCTTTCTGTTAGTTCATCTTTAGCGAGCTGCGGGGAGAATTTACATATCTGAAGCTAGTATTCATCATGATGCTGCAACCAGCACCAACCTGGCCTTGGAAGGGGACTGGTGTCATGATGGAAGATACAAGGCGATGTCCTGATGGTGAGTCTGGCGAATCTGGAATTTGTTGAGGAAGACACAAGGCGAAATGGGTAATCTTAAAGAAGCTGTTCCTATGGTTTTTGTGGCATTGAGGCAGTAAAATCATGGGATCAAATTCTTCTGGGAAGATTCTGTTGATTCATCTGAATTTTGTTGTCTTATTGGGTGTCACATAATTGAAGCCTACATAGATTTATGCTAATATCTGCTCCTCGTTGCTTGCTGAGGGGGAGGTGAAAGATCTGCATATGTTGGTGAAGTGGTGATAGCATGACTGCACGCCTGGTGATGTATGATAATTAATTTAAGCTAGTACTTCCTCCGTTTCACAATGTAAGTCATTCTAGCATTTCTCATATTCATATTGATGTTAATGAATCTAGATAGATATATATGTTTAGATTCATCAACATCAATATGAATGTGGAAAATGCTAGAATGATTTACATTTTGAAACAGAGGGAGTAGTTCTTTGCCATGCATGTTTTATTCTGGGTCACTGCAGCAATTTGTAGAGGCTCAGATTTTACCGTTCCTATGGAATTTCGTTATCCTAGGATGGTCGCACAGTTTATTGTTGTTTTATTCACTAGGAGCTGTTTTGCTTTAATGAAGTTATAAATTCTGCTCTAGATTTTTACTGAGGTTGTACTGAGTTCCATCTTTTGCTAGGTTTTTACTAAGGTTAAGTGTTTGGCATTGGTCGCCTATCCAAAACCTATTTTAATTCGAAGCTGTTGTACTTGCTACGTGGTTCTTTTTTTTTTTTTTTTGGCTCACTCCCATCTGTTTTCAGCATTTGGGTATGACAGTTTTTTTGTTTTTTTATCCTTCTAGTGGTGTATCCTATAGAAAAAGAAAGAAAGACCTACTGTTTGTTTGCAACCTCTTGACAATATTTTTTGGTGCTTAATACTTTATTTAGTTACTATAAGAGACGTTTCGGTGATAATTCTTGTTCCATTGCAACCTGAAATCCTAGTTAGGGACTTAATAACATTTTCTTAAAATACAAAAATGATACTTTCTCCATTTCATATTATAAGTCGTTTCGACTCGTTTTGTAATTAATCGTTTTCGAGTTCTATCAAATTTATGGAAATCTAGCAATATCTACAACATTTAGTTAGTTAAATTAGTTTTATTAAATATAACATTGAATATGTTTTGATAATTGTTTAGTTTGTATTATAAATGTTGCTATTTTTTTCTATAAATTTAGTTGAACTCAAAAAAGTTTGACTAATAAAGATATCAAAATAATTTATAATATGAAACATCAATTAAAATAGCTAAGAGGTAACTTTATTATGAATTAATAATAGAATTTTATGCGTTCTCAATTTTTATGTTACTCCTGTAGCTTGCCACTTAGTTTAAAAAAATATGTTTAATGCATTTTTTTTACTTTTATGTGTAAACTGTCTTGTATTTAACAAAACAAATAATGATTGAAAATATTTGTCAGATGGATCAAAATCATCAGCCACCAACACCATGTGCACGTCATGCCTGTTTGTTATTTGGACTGTTTGTTATTTGGACATGACTACAATACTACATACAGACTGTACTAGTCTGTATTGTCTTAACTAGAGACTTATCTTAGATCTTGTTGCTATCTTAGACCTTGTTGTCTACTATTACACCAAATAATACATGTATTTTTTCCTTCTTATAGATTTTTCTTTTAAATTATTTATCCGGTTTATAATCCGATTACACTATTGTGTTCGTTGCAATTAAATCTTTACAATAAGATCTTACATAAATGTTGTAAATTACTTTTATTATATATGTAAGTTACTTTTATTATATATATAAATACTTTTTATTTGATTAAATTACTATGCACTCATAATGTTCTGAGTTATTTATTTTATTATCATTTTTAGTCAATTTTATAATTTGTACTGATTAAATTTAATTTTTAGATATACTCACGCTTTTATCTTCATAGCGGATCTACTTTTAATGTCATGATAAAGGTACTTTCTTTTTATTTTAAGTTATTTCTATAATATATGTAAATTACTTTTAAGTTTTACTGAAATTACTTTTACATGTTTAAGAAGTAGTTTAGTGAAATCTAAAAGTAATTTAGATATAATATAAAAGTAATTTGTATTTTTTATCAAAATATAATCACGTGAGATCTTGTTATAAAAATTTAATTCTTACGAACACAACCGTGTGATCGGATCGGAGATCGAATGAGTAGTTTAAGAGAAAATTTTATTTGAAACATAGGTGATAAGAATATATTTTCTACTTACTTGATGATGACTAATACTACAGTTAAGTTATCTAGATAGGGTCTCTCGTTAGCACTAAAACGAGATTTAGATTTTGCCTCGTTATTTTCCCTTAAAATATGTGTAAGGTGAATTTTGATAAGTAGCAGAATTTTGAAGTTTGTGTTTGTCTTAGAACAGTGGAAATACACTAGATATAACCGAGTTTGTTTCTTTTCCTGTCAAAAACATCACTCGAGGAGCACAATTTGTTAATAGGAAAAACTGCTTCAGTCAGCTTAGTTTAAGCACGGTTGAATAGTTGAATCTGTTCTACCGTGCAATACTCTTTTTTTTCTTTTCTTTTTTTTTCTTTTTTTTTTTTGCAATAGTGGTTCAAAATTTTTTGCCCTGCGGGCGTTTTGGACAGGTTCTACACGCTGCCATCAAGACGGTACTTCGGCCCTTCACAGTTAATTCTGGCAAAAATAATATAGGTGGTACCCACTAACAATTATTAGAAGTTAAAGCTCAACATGCAAGTATGCCACATCATTACGCTCATTAGCAATTACTATTCTGCCCATTTAAATCCCATTCAAGCATGCCACATCTTCACTCACTAGCAATTACTATTCTAGCTTATTTTAAATCTCATGCAAGCATGACACATCATTTACAATATATATTATAGAGATCAATGAGTATGTGTCAAATCATTTCCCTCTTATTATTTTTTCAACATTTATTTCGGCAATATTTAACATATATTCATCTATAAATTCCGCAGCAAAGCGCGGGGTATTACCTAGTTTTATAATGAACTCTCCGACATCGTGGATCTTATAGCTCTGAATTGGAAAGAGCATCCCAGCGAGCAATTGCTGGGAGTGATGGTTCGACTCCATCAAGATTCCCATTAAAGATTGACATAGTTAGGAAAATCTTTATCCCTTCTAAATTAATCATTTTATCCTACCGTGTTTAACTAAAAAATCCACACAATTTCAGAGTAGTGGATAGAGGTCTAATTCAAGGTCAGGTCCTTTTACTTCTTTCTTTTCAATTTTAAATTTTAGCAGCCACTTAGGCCCTGTTTGATTCAGCTTAGGAGTATTATAATCTGAATTATTAGAAGTAAGCTGAAACAAACAAGTAGATTATTATGTTAGATTATTATAATCTATAAGCCAGATTAGTATAATCCAATAATCTCCTCTAGATGAGCTTTTTCCAGATTATTGAGTGGCTAAAGACCCACTACCTTATATGCCTCTAATAATCCTGAGAAACAAATAACTCGTAGCTTATTTTATGTCAGCAACAACTCGCAGCTTATTTTATGTCAGCTTATTATAATCCAGCTTAGAGTAATCTAATTTAATAATCTAGATTATAATAATCTTAAGCTGAAACAAACATAGCCTTAGTCGTGCGAAGTACTCTTCCATAATCCGTGTGCGAAGCACTATACCATAATCTGTGTATAGGAATTGACTATTGATCTAGACAATTACAGTATATGTTTCACGAGACTACTCTCTGTCCTTAAATATAAGGTTTTTTATATTGTTTAACAAAGATTGCGTTAGAGCATAAAATGCCTTTATATCACTTTATCGAGGAATGGTTGGAGGGCTAAATAATACTCTATAAATCCTTATATTTGTGAATATGTTTCATTTGTAATGCTTATATTTATAGACAAAGAGAGTTGCTACCTTTACAAAAAAAAAATGAAGGGCCAAGGAGAGGGCAATAAAATTAAATGAGAACGTTTTGTTTTATTTCTATTCTTTAACATAAAGGGTGGATATTATGATTGATTGAGATAAAGAAACAAATGAAGAAATTAAATAAAAGATAGTTGTATTTAGTTAAGATGAAGGAATATTTGGATGGGCAACCTCCACCACCAGGCGAGCTGAAACTGAATTTGGATGGGGCTTTCTTTGAATCCAATAAATCAGGCATCCGGGGCTTTGTGGTTCGGGATCATGAAGCAAGCGGAGTGCTGGCGGGCTCGGGAAGAATTGACTTTGTGCATACCATGGCATCTCGCATTTTGCTATTGAGACTGATTGTTCTGCTCTGGTGGGTGCCCTAACATCAAGAAATTTTGAATGTGCTCCGGGTGGTGTAGTCTTCAGGCAAATCAGAGCTTTGCTCCAAATGGACTTCCCAAATGTCAAGGTGTCTTTTGCAGGTCATTCATGTAATAGATGTGCTCATGACATTGCTCGTTTAAGTGTAAGTTGGGACCTGGGTCAGATGTCTGTTTGGGCAGACCCCCTCCCAGAATATGTAAATGTGCTAGTGGCTCGTGATCGTATCGGGCCAATGAGTTAATAAAGAGCACGCTTAAGATAAAAAAATGAAGGAATATTTGAAGTAGCTATATATATATATATATATATATATATATATATATATATATATATATATTTTAGGACAAAATTTAAATATTAATTAAAGGTGCCTATATTTTGAGATAAAAAGAGTAATAAAATTAGCACTAAGATGGATGGAGCTCTACCATTGTATGCCAATGAGATGAGCTTCAGGTGCTCTCCATCTACATTTTTGTATTGTGTAGTATTATGCTTATGAAAAATTATGTATTTTCTTTGACTTTGATTATGAAAGAGAGTTCTCTGATGCTAAGGGCCCTTTGGTCCAGAAGCTTCCTAATTGGTCCAATGGATACCATCCTCGTAAAATATCGAAGGGTTTACATTTTTTGTCTATTGCGTCTGACAGCCGTTGCAATTCCAATGATGTGGCTCATTTTCCTTGAATAAAGTTGGTTGCTTTCATCTATTAACATATACTACACCGCCTGAAAATGAGTATAATATGAAATAAATCCTAAACCACTGCACAAAAAAGACTAAAATGCTACTACCTCCGTTTATCTGTTTTATATTATATAAGTCGTTTTAACTTTTTTTCTTCTAGTTAAACCTTTTTAATAGTCAAACTTCTTTAAGATGTTTTTCTGAACATAGAAAGTTACAAATGGCATGATTCAATTAACCTTTTTTTATCCCCTCATTTCATTGCTCTGCTACCTTCCCAATACTTCTATTTTTTTTTCTATTTTTTATTGTTTGTTTGACTAGATTGCTTTGACTATCATATGAAAGTATCTGCATATGCATGGGACCTTCTCATCTAGAATTCTCCTGACATGTGATTGGTATACACGCAAATGATCCAACGGTCTATATTTATTCCTACTCTCATCCTAAGGCCATTAGTATTCCAGATGACATGGCTCATCATTTTTTGAGACAGCTTGTTGCTTTCACATATGTAGATGGGACGAGTTGGTTTTTATCTTTCTTTCCAATGTTAAATTTTATGGGCGAGTTGGTTTAATAAGACCTTTTTAGTTGATAAAAGTAAAAATAAAGAGTTATGAAGTTGTAGTATTTTTTTAAGAACTTTCAATTTTGAACTAATTCATAGCAAAGATTAAGATATGATATTTTACGGATTTCCTATGCTATGCATATTTCTGTTTGTTACACTATTCTTATTATTATGTAAGCTCACTTAACTTGAGCATCACGTTTGTAATGTTAGATTTAATTGGGTAATTGATCCATTTAAATAAATTAAATCAAATAAATTCCAAGGCTCATTATGCTAGGAATTCATGTGTATTCATTCTCTTATGGGATATCAATGGGATGAAGAGTTTTGAGAATTAATCCATTTGATTAGTGAATTGGTAACCTACATCAATTACTCCTAATTAATGGTTGGTTGATGGATGTGTAGTGGAGGATGGTTGATGGCTAGTTGATGAGAATTAGTTACTCTATTGCTCTTCCTATTCCATAACTCTTACTCTTCATCTTCCGTTCCTCCTATAAAATGAGAATGGATTTGATCTCCCGCGTGAGAGAAGAGATATACTTTCATCCATTTCTAAGGCTGTTGCTGCTACGGTAATCCCATCCCGACGAGTGTGTACACACGCGTTGGGAGAGTAGGCCTCCGAAACTACGCACTGCTGTGATGTTTGCACGGACGGGAGGGCGATCAGGTTTTTGGGGAGCGTAAGGCGCGACTACTCACTGTTCGTCAACGTCTACATCGTCTTCACCAACATGTCGAACACTGGAGACAACAGCAACACTGGAGACAAGGAGAAGGAGGTTCCCGTCAACACCAACGGAGGAAATATTTCCTCAAACTCCAGCGGAGGGCCATTTTTAGGGTATAACCTTCTTACATTAGAAGTTTTACTGTTAATGTTCATCGCAATGTCAACATTACGTTATTATATGATTGTTAATGCTTATTCTACGTTAAGCATGCTATGTTGATTACATTCACAACTATCACTGGATCAAATCCCATTGTAAATATCATGTTTATTATCTTGTTATTTTGGATTAAAATATACCGAATTATGACCAAATTTCCAACATGTAATTCCAAGTCATCTATTTAAATCCAATAGTTGAGTTTTTTTCTATATCGATCATCATTTCAAAATAGGGTGAATATAAATTTCATTTTTGGAGTAGAAGCAAGGAAGAGGTGGAATATTACAAAGAGAAAGGGTACCTTATAAAAAACAAAAACAAGTTCTTGTAATTGGAATCTATTTTTTTTAAAACCACCCATAAGCTCCCTTATATATTTAGAGTGATCCCTATACTTAATGATTCACGCAGTAGATATTGACTACCGAAGCAAAAACCCTACCAGGGACAAAATCTTTGATTAGAAAAAAATTGTTATCAATATGGATGATACTATAAATGAGAATTTTCATAATTTAACTGAGCCAGGCCACCAGGACCATGTTAGAGAAAAAATAACGGTTATGGAATGCACATAGGATAAAATATACTCTATTCGTTCCAAAATGTAGCAATCTAGGATGAGATTAGACCCATCCTAATACTAATTTCATCCTAGATTACTACATATTAGAATGGAGGTAGTAAAGGAGCTTGAATTGAATTGTGATGATACAGAAACCCACAATTGTACTTATCATTGAGTAGTACTCCCTCGGTTCCAAAATAGCCATTGACTTTTACACGGTCTTCAACATATAGAACTTCGAACACCAATCTTATTCATATTACTACATCTACTTTTGATATGTATATTTCGAAATCTGAAAAATTTATTTTTGATAGGCATATTTCAATCCAACAACCTATCTTCGTAATGAATTTCTCGGACTTAATGCGTGACTCTCCATTCTTTCACATGAGATTGGCTACATGGGTATAGAGAAATGTAAATATTAATGAATTGCTTGTTTGCGAGGAATAACTAGTAGCATGTTTAAATGGATGATAAGTAGAATTACTTATCTTTGATCTGTGTGCCAAGATGAAATATGACTATCAAAAGTAGATGGAGGGAGTATATTATAAAGGGTTAATTGGATCCATGTCATTGCAAAAATGCCAATTTCAGATAAATTTCACTATTATTCACGATATCGTATACATGCCACTGGAATTTAGGGAAATTGGAACTATGCCACTCCGTCACGATATCTATCAAAAATCTTGTTAGCCTCAACTGCACATGGGACATAACAAACATGTTCTATCTTCTTCACCTCCCTCCCCTCTCTTCTCTTTTCCCACCCTCTCTGAAGTCTCTCTTTCTCTGGCACTCATCATCCTCCACCACCGTCACCGTCACCGCCACCATCGTCGACCACCTTCATGGCTCCATGGCATCATCCTCCACCACCGTCGCCACTACCGTTATCAACCACCTCCACGGCTGGAGGGCTCGGGAGCCATTGCCGTCACCGTCTCACCGACCCCACCGTTGTCGTCACCGCCACTATCTTTGACCTCCTCCATCCACGGCAGGAGGCTCGGGAACCACTGTTGTTGTCGTTGTTTTCTTTAACCTCCTATCCATAGCGCGAGAGCTCGGGAGCCACCATCGTCGACCTGCTCCCATCCTCGTCGGGAGGGCTCGAGAGTCACTACTGTCCTCCGCCATCGTCGCTGCCGTCTTCGACTTCCTCCCATCCACGCCAGAGACCTTGGGAGCCACCGTCGTCGACGCCACCGTCTTTGACCTCCTCCCATCCACGATGGGAGGCCTCGGGAGCCAGCACCGTCGCTCGTCGACCTCCTCCCATCCTCGGCGGGAGGGCACAGGAGCCCGCTGTTGTCATCTTCAACCTCCTCCCATCTGCATTGGGGGGGGGGGGGCTCAGGATCCACTGACCTCCTCCCATCGACAGCAATTTGCCGTTGCACCGGCCATGCGCGCCGCACCATTAGCCTCCCTCGTTGGTGCCCTCCTCACCGGCAGCCACATTTGAAAACAAGATGAGAGATGGGAAAGAAAGAAGAGGGAGGATGAAGGAAGAAGATGGAACTGACATGTGGGTCCTACGTTTAGGGGTATTTTGGTCAATATGATGACAAAAAAAGTGGTGATGATGGCATAATTTTAATTTTGTGCATATTCGGATGGCACGACTACGAATAGATGAATTACAGTGACATTTAACTAAATCGGTATATTTGCAATGACATAGTTCCAATTAAACCTATTATTAATAACTAGAAAATAATCATCATATGAAACTACTTTCAAATACGGATATAATAATATCACACGTATAGCACTAATCACATATAGTGTTACTTTAATTTATTAGTTACAGATTGTAAAAGTTGATTTTAGGACGGAGATGGAGGGGAGTATATACTGATTTATTTTGATCGCAAATTACGTCTTGCCTTCAGCTATGCCACTGCAGCTAGCCCACGGTATCGGACGGATCCGGTAAGGTTGCCTTGCCTCTCCTCAGCACCGACCTGGCGGCCCATTTGTTGCCATTGACTAGCGTTCACCCGGCCCTGGATCCCCCTCTCCCATCTCCCATCTCACCACCTCGGCCGCCGCCGCCGCCGCCGCCGCCGCCATCGCCGCAGCGATCTGTCACAATCACCACCGCCACCGGCAATGCCCACCGCGTCATAGGTCGAGGCGCGCCATGCCCCCGCCGACCCCGCTGGCCCGCCTCCTCGCGGCCATCTCCGCCGCCGCCTCCTCGCCCGCCGACCTCCGCCGCCTCTCCCACCGCGTCCTGTCCCCCTCCGCGCCTCTTCCCCCTCTCCGCTGCCTCAACACCCTCCTCATGGCCCTCGCACGCCACCGTATGTTCCCGGACATGGAGTCCCTCGCCTCCCGCATGCCCGCCCGCAACCTCCGCACGTACACCACCCTCATCAACGCCTACTGCCTCGCCGGCGACATCCCCGCCGCGAAGCAGCATCTCACCTCCCTCCTCCACGCGGGACTCGCGCCGGACTCGTACGCGTACACCTCTTTCGTCCTTGGATATTGCCGCGCAGGGATGCTGACGCACGCCTGCCGGGTGTTCGTGCTAATGCCGCTCCGGGGATGCCTGCGGACAGCGTTCACGTACACGGCGCTGCTCCATGGGCTGCTTGGCGCAGGGATGGTTCGTGAGGCTATGGCAGTGTTCGTTGGGATGAGGGCGGACAGCTGTGCTCCGGATACCCATGTGTACGCGACGATGGTGCACGGGCTGTGTGAGGCTGGACGAACTGAGGAGGCTGAGGTGCTGCTTGAAGAGGCAATGTCTAACGGATTTGAGCCAAATATTGTTGTCTACAATGCGCTGATTGATGGCTACTGCAATGCTGGAGAAATGGAACATGCACTTAAGGTCTTCGAGGGCATGGATGGCAACCGGTGCTCCCCAAATGTGCGAACATACACCGAGCTGATACATGGGTTGTGCAAATCAGGGAAGGTGGAAAGGGCCATGGTGCTGTTCAGTCGGATGGTTGAGGCAGGTTTGGAGCCCAATGTAGTGACATACACAGCTTTAATTCAGGGGCAGTGCAATGAGGGTCACCTGCAATGTGCTTTTAGGCTTCTTCATTTGATGGAGACTAATGGGCTGGTTCCAAACGACTGGACTTTCTCGGTGTTAATTGATGCTCTCTGCAAGCGTGAGAAGGTTGAGGAGGCCCAGTTGTTTCTTGGGTCTCTTGTCAAGAAGGGAGTTAAGGTGAATGAGGTTGTTTACACTAGCTTGATAGATGGATTGTGCAAGACAGGAAAGATTGATGCTGCTGATGAATTGATGCAGAAAATGATCTCAGAGGGGTTTGTGCCAGATGCCCACTCATACAGTTCACTTATTGATGGATTATGCAGGCAAAAGAAGTTGTCGCAAGCAACATTGATGTTGGAAGATATGATGGAGAAGGGAATACAGGCAAGTCCTGTAACATATACCATTATAATTGATGAATTAGTCAGGGAGGTAGGATCAGAAGGTCCAAAGAAAATATTCGACAAGATGATCGCGACAGGTATCAATCCTGATATTGTAACGTACACAGTATTTGTCCGCTCCTACTGTGAAGAGGGGAGAATGGAAGATGCTGAATCCATGATAGTTCAAATGGTTGATCGTGGTGTTTTCCCTAACCTAGTCACGTATAACACTTTGATTAGAGGGTATGCAAATCTAGGACTAGTCAGTCAAGCATTTTCAACTTTTGAAGTAATGGTTGGTAAGGGGTGGAAACCAAACGAGGACTCCTACACAGTTCTTCTCAGACTTGTGGTAAAGAAAAGTTCCTCTGATAACTCTGTTGATATATGGAAAATAGCAGACATGAAAGATCTCCAGGTACTTTTGGAGGACATCACTGAGCGTCAGTTGCCACTAGCCGCCGATATTTACAGTTGTTTCATTAGATGTTTATGCCGAGTTGACAGATTGGAGGAAGCAAAACATTTTTTTATGGGGATGCAGAATGCTAACTTGACCCCTAGCGAGGATGTATATACTTCGATAATAGACTGCTGTTGCAGATTAAAAATACTAACAGATGCTTTGACATTGCTTGATTCAATGACGAAAAGTGGTTATTTGCCACATTTAGAATCTTATAGAATTATAATTTCTTCTCTTTGTGAGGGAGGAAACTTTCGCACTGCTAAGGAAGTTTTTGGTGATTTGTTACTGAAGGAATCCAATTATGATGAGATTGTATGGAAAATTCTGATTTATGGCCTATTACAGAAGGGCAGTGTTGCTGAGTTCTCAAGTCTGCTCTCCGTCATGAAGGAACATGGTTACCAACCTAGTAACACAATTAATGCCATGATTACAGGTGAAATAACAGTTACAAATGAAGTTCAGGAAATCGCTAGATAAATTTGGAGAAACTAACCAACTGTTGTGTTGATGGTCTACAGCAGAAGGTATGCATCTTGATTTCATTTTCCGTCCAGTTTTATTTTGGTAAATATGTTCAAGTTATACTGCGGTAAAGTACAGTCCATCTGTAACAATATAAAATGTAAGAACTATATCGTTGGTGATCAAATAGTTATTTACTAATTTGAGAGAAAAGTCAACACGACCATTTGCTTTATCTAAACAGGATTTCTCTGTCTCCCCCCCACCCCCCAAAAAAAATAATTATTCTAAGTTAAGTATAGCTTTTTTACATGTATCTATGTTTTGTTGAAAAATAAGAACTCCAATTAATTGGCAAAATTGGTTCTGTAGCATCGAAAGTGTCCACTTTCAGTTTTATAGCACTGAAAAGTTCACGGTTCATTTTAGGGCCTGTTTGGTAGAGCTCCAACTCCTAAATTTAGCTCCAGGAGTTGGGTCTAGAGTGAAGTTGTGGAGCTGCCTAAACCCAGTTCCACCTCTCTAGTTCATTTTGTGAGAGAGCTCTACCTAGCTCCGCTCCCATTTCAGGTGGAGCTGAAACTGTTTGGCTGAGCTCCAGCTCTAAGAGAGGTGGAGCTGGAGCTGTGCCAAACAGGCCCTTAATAGCATCGAAAGTTTATCTCCGTTACTCCCACTCCTTTAGAACTGCTGCCACTTATTCCTCTTGCCCTTATGTTTTCTTCCTCCTCCACACACCCTCTTCCTACCGTTCCTTTTGCACAAGAAATCACCATGGTACAGTGGCAGGCGGGCTGGAGGGTGACATGGTGAACGATCTCGGCAGCAACTGTGGTGGCAGCTGACGTGCTCGATTGTGACTGGGGAGTGAACTCGAGGGCAGCTGCAAGAACAATCTGGAGGGCAGCAGCAGTGGTGTTTGATCTCTGGGAGAGAGGGATGGAGCCGTGGAGGCAAGATGGCCTGTAGCTCGAGCACAGAGCTTCTGTTGGCTTGAGCGTGGTTGAGCTGCCAAGATGTTGGCCTTCCTCGAGCACTAAGCACCTAGTGTGGAGGAAAAACGCGGCGCTTCCGACCATGGCCGATTCGAGTGCTCTAGTGAGAAAAAAAATCGAATTTTTTAATTTTGAGGGGCAATGTTCATGAGGATGAGAGGATGCCAATTGTTAAAACAATTTTGTATTGGTTGAGGCCTTGAGGGGAGATCGAGTGAGTTGGACCAGGATGTCCAGATCCTTCTGTTCTTTTCTCCCCATCAAAAATGAAACTCAGATTGTTCCGCTTGTTGTGTGGGCAGGTGTGCAACTCAACATTGTTGCCTTTCTGTGCACAGTGAAGCAACAGATCCTCATGGACTACTTCCATTTGTGGCATCAGCATCGGGCTCAGTCGAGCCAGGCGCAGTACCGTCATTCGAGCTTGAGAACACGTGGACATGCGAGTGGTCAAGCTCATGGGCATGCTGACGGCCATCAAGCTCGAGCCTCGAGGACGGTGTCCGGCTAGCATTCGAGCTTGAGAAAGGAGAGGGGGCTGGAGGAGGAAGAAGGAGGAAAAGGCACGGCTGGTATTTCACATGTTGTTTTTCGAAAGATAAAATGAATACCAAAGAAAATTGAACAGAACTTTGTACGGAATGCTGAATATGAGAGCAGGTTAACTTTCGATGCTATTAAGTGAAACGCGAACTTTCGGTGCTATAAAACTAAAAACTGGAACTTTTGATGCTGCAGAACCAATTTTTCCTTAATTAATACTCGTATCTGATTAGTACTAGGCTTAATAGTCATTTGTAATTATATCTTTATTTTTTATATTTCTACCTAATTAGCATCCAGTCATTGTAGTTCATTCTACACCCTGGAAAGGGCAAAATTTGACATTCTTATTCCTACAGGCGTTCAGTATGAAATGGCAACTAACTATAACTGGCACTTGCTCTTGCAGTTGGTTATGTGTCAATCCACTGAAGCAAGCGGGCTATTTGAGAAGATAGGGTAGCTATACTTTCAGTGGCTCCAGAAACTGCTAGACTTGGATATGTGAAATTAACATCCATTACGAATGATCTGATCCCGGAGCTAGCATTCTAGTTAAATTGCTGTGACTGGCCAAATAACGATCGGTACATACTCAATTCTATTGAGAACTCAACTTCATCAAAATTTGGTGGAAGAGCTAGAGCAATTTTCAGTCAGTTTGCACACGCCAAGGTAGCTGTGATCACAGGGACTAAGAAGGTATCTTTGAAATTATCATACATTCTATGTTATGTTTTATTCCCAAATTGTTGATTGCTCATGTTACATTTGTGATGCACGTTTTGTCCGATTATCTTATTCTTATCACCCATTTCTTCTTGATTAAGATTAGTCACACTTAATTTAATTAAGTAGGCTGATATTGTCATGTGGGGCCAGCACTATATCTGTTGGCACCACAGCCAGTTCAACCATGGTGCAGCTGCAGAAACAGGGGTGCACTCAGCCCCCTTGGTATCCTTATCAGATTAGAATCTATCTGTTAAAGAGTTTCTTGGTTACATTTACCTTTGTTGAGATATTAGTTAGGATATATTAGAACACACATAGAGTTATTTTAGGAGATGTTAGCTATATATGTTAGGGCCTCTCCTATATAAAGGACTTGGCACATATACCTGGACTTAATCAGATAGAAAACAGAAAACCCAAATACCTCTCGTTCTCCTTGGCGCATCACGGCGCCATGGCGATAGGACTCTTTCTCTTGACCTCCCACATCCCACGACAACTTCCTCCTCCCCTCTAATCCCCAAACACATGAGCCGCTGACTGATATGACATTGTGTATCACCTGTGTACTAAATTGTTTATCTTTCTCCTTTTTCTTTTCCTCCATTATCTTTATTTTTCAGGATCAATTTCCAGGTCAAAAGAGATATCCATATACATTATATATCCAGAAGTTGAAGTGTAATTGCTTGTGAAAATGGTTCGCAGGAGACTGGAACATGATGAAATTACTAGATTCTACTTTTGTTATGGTGAAGAACATATACATAGAATGATGGCTGAGTATGTTCTGAGAAGGTCACTCCAAAAATAACTGGATGTAAGTTCCATTTGCTGATTTTGTCTTAAGTAGATCACCTCTTCTTTTTTTTTATTATTTATTTCAGTTTAATTGATTTTACTTTTTTTTTTCATTCAGCAGATAGATGAGGTGATCGACTCCTTAAAAATGCTACAGATGTTTTTCATGGTCCATGCACTGACTAAGCTTCGTTTATTTTCAAGGTAGGCTGGGCAGTACCTTAAATATTAGAATGGTGATTATTCTATCCATACTTTAATTTTAGGCTTTAGGGTGCAATACCATGATCAAAATTTACAATTATCATAATTCATCTCTGCGTTATTATGGTTGCTCATTATGTTTTCTATTAATACTCTCCTAGTTTTGGAACCTCTGATAAAAATCAAAACTACTCCAAAGATGAAAATACTACTATGAAGGTTGACTTTCTGTGAGAACTACCGTTCATAGTGATTGTGCATTTACCCAGTCCAGATGGAGCGATTGGTGCTGTTTAAAATGTTGGTCAAAACAATCCAATGTACATACAAAATGGTCAGATTTCTATGAAAATATAGTTGTCATAGGCGTTGGGCAGAGAGGCCGAGGCCCACGAGGCCAAGTCCTAGCGGATAAACAGTACCACGAGTACTGTAGCAGTTGGTTAGGACATAGGATAGGATTAGATAGAGTTAGTTTGAGTTAGTTTCTTAAGGGTCAAGTCATATCATCTCTATATAAGGGATGGATTGTATTCATCTCTAGTTAAGCAATGAATATCAATTAGTCTAATCTCTCCCTCCCAATAATATTCTTCTCCCTAGCCTAAATCTACATCCCTTCTCCAGGAGCCGACGCCGCCCGGCTATCTTCCCGGCGGTGTTTATCCCGTCATGGCCTTGGGTCATGACAATAGTTTGGTGTCTTTTTAAAGAAAGATACAATATTGCCCTTAATGAACTTTCAGTGAGCAGCTCCAGGAGTCCGAATCAAAGGCCTTGTTGATCCCCAGCGCCCCATACAAAGAGGACTTTCCTAACAGTTGTATATAAGATCAGTCCAAATAATAACACTGAACAACTTAGTAATAAAAAACTTCCCTAGGGAATTATTGATGCTGTCATGCTGCAGAACCATGTTGTACACTACTCTGAGCATAGGTTTCCCTTGATATATCGCACATGAGAGTCAGATTGACAAACCAAGTCATTCCCTGGTCTTTTAATCTCTCAAAATTCTTTTTTGCGCAATAGTGCATCACTGTGTCATACATTTTTCTGATAGCACCTACTCCCTCCATCCCAAAAAGCATTAACCTAGGAGGGGATGTGACCCCTCCTAGGTTGATTCTTTTTGGGACAGAGGGAGTAGATAGGTAAATAGGTGCAGATCCTTCATAAAAAGGTGAAATCTACAGGAGAGCAATTGATTGCATCATAATTGACCAATCCAGTGGTTGATTGAGATACTTTCATTAACTTAGATAATTATTTTTTATTTTGTTTGATGCCTGTTTTGGTTTATTTTAGCTTGTTCATCAAATTGACCAATGCTTGCTCTCATCCATTATGCCACTTGTATGACAGACATGTTGGTGAGTTGTCTTGTCAGTGAAACAAGAGATTTGCAAATATGCAGTGGCAACATAAGGCATTTATCCGATGGGGTTGAGATGGACCCTATCAGGATTTGTCAACAGAAATTTCTTCCTAGTTCACCTAGCAAAGGCTAACAGGGTTACTAATCCCAGGAGTTATGGCATTTTGTGTTCTTTTGGATCCTCATTGCATTTGTATGTAGGTTGAAAATTTTATAATTTTTTTTTCTAAGAAGAGAGGTAAAATTCAACGTAATGCAAAAGGAGTAATGTCTCTTGGTCTGGGTCTGAGTATTATGTCTAAATCTGGGGTTGAAATGTGGCTTGGGCACTGACACACTGAAATGCAAAAGGAGATGAGAACTGAGAAGTTCTCCCATTCAAGCTGCTGGTTCAGCTGACTCCGGCACATGCCATGGTCATGGAGCCCAATCATATCAGAAACACTGAGTCTTAATAGGTGTTCAGAACAAATGTCCGTGTGTCATGATTTTTTCACAATTAGGTCACTGTCATTGTGACAATGGTAGAAGTAAATTTAGTGAAGGTGCAAGTGAGACGATTGTGACTAATATTGTGATGAAAACATGTTCTATCTATGTTACTATGTGAGTGGTGGTTTACATCTGTATCTCCATGGGCAATACCACGTTGGATTTTGTACCTTGGATGGTACATTTAACAATTTTAGGGGTATTAACTTTGCATTTTCCAAGTTAATGGACCTAGATTACACCCATGCACAAGGACCGCTAGTGTATTTTTACTCTAGTTATGATTGAGCCTGTAAAGAATTCAATTTCAGTACATTTTGGTGCTCAAAAGATATTATTATATTAAATACATTATGAATTCCTGATATTGTATAATGGATAAATAGACGGTATGATTTTAAGTCACCCCATGCCCCACTGAAAGATAGCTAGAGCCGAAGGTGGCAGAACTTCATTTGCATGAACTGCTCTGTTGTATCAGTGGCTTAGTGCTGATCCTACTTTGCTGAGTTCGGTAGGACTTGTTGGGAACAAATCTCCTCCGCACAGAAAACGGAGCAGTCCATTAGCGCGTGATTAATTAAGTATTAACTTTTTTTTTTCAAAAATAGATCAATATGATTATTTTAAGCAACTTTTGTATAGAAACATTTTGCAAAAAACACGCCATTTAACAGTTTGAAAAAACGTGCATGCGGAACATGAGGGAGGGGAGTTGGAAAAACATACTGCCGAACACAGCCAGTATATGGCAGTCCTAGGAGCAACTGTTTGTTTGGTATATGCTAAATCATAGAGTTGTATTAATTGATTACTAGGAGAAGAGGATCCAAAATAGGCAAAGTACTGTCAGACATTTTCACTTGTCTTTCACAACTACCTTGTCCAGGGAATTATGTGTTTCACTTTTAATAAATATAATTTTCCAAAATGGCATCAGAATTTAGTACCACCAATACCATCTTTTCGTTCATTGGAAAGCCTCATACTAGTACTTGTTAGTCTGTATTTATTCTTTTTTGTTTATGACCACTGTAGGGGTTATATGAGCATGTTTTATCTTTCGCTTGTGCAGAGTTTCAAGATATGTCATGAAAGGCAGCATGATGGAATATTGGCCCCCATTTTGCAGAACTTGGGCGAGGTTCTTGGAAAGTTCTGAACCTTTGCCTATATGAACTCTGGGGAAGTTAGTATTAAGCTCTATATAGTAAATGATATTCACAGCATTCAACTTGTGTTAATAGTTTGCAGGCGTGGAATATTCTTTTTGACCGGAACATGGACTAATTATTTGACAATTGTATATAGAGATTCAATCAATACATTCTTGACAGAAATAAATGCAGATAGTGGATCATACCAGTTTGAATAACCTAGTCGATTTGAAAATGCATGATACAATAATATTTTGCATGTCATACCGTCAGGAATGCTATGAGAAATCCACTTCCTGCAAAATTCTTATGAAATTGGGAGAATAGCTATTATGGTCCCTGAAGTTTTGCTCCGAGAATATTTTAGTCCCCGACCTTTCAAATTGTCCAAGCAAGCCAAACTTTATCATGTGGACATATACAGTCCTTGGCTCTTCAAAAATTGCCATGTGGGCATGCCATGTCATCTTTCGATGCAAATATATGATGAAATGCCCAATTTTCCCTTAAACATATCATATGGAAAAACAGAGAAAAAAAAGGAGAAAATACAAAAAAAAAAAGGTGATCTTGCATATTAAATATCCGTTAGAGTTTTAACATTGTAATGCAACTACGTACATGGAATTTAGTTGGCATGGTAATTATATATTTAGTGGTTGTAGCTAACTTAACTTTGTAGTAGTATAATCCAGTGAAAAAAGTTAGCCACATATCCATAGTCACATTGAACAAAGTTTTTAAATTCTTTTCATTATTTTTGTATGGTATATGGAAGGGTAAATTGGACATTTCACCATATATTTTGCATGAGAGGATATTCACGTGGCAATTTAAGTGGGCCCAAGGACTATATTAGCCCACGTGACAAATTATAAGGCTCGTTTGGACAATATAAAAGATTAGGGACCAAATTGATCTCGGAGCAAAACTTCAAGGAGTATATGCACGACCCTAAACTCCATATATCAGTATTCGTCGCCACCTTTAGGGTTTAGGTTTTGCTTAGATTAATATGTCAAGAATAGTTTCGCCGATCCTTCGGTTTGTAAGTCCCCAACTTGTGAGCTTAATCATTCATCTGCAACTTTGGTTGCATTCTTTATCGCTCTTGTTTGTGTTCTTCGATTTGCAAGCAGGGATTAACCTTTTCGGCGAGGTCAGCCAGGTTTCGACACAGTTGATAACCAGAGGAGACGTGGTGTTGCGATTGCGGGGCTCAATAGCGTGTTTGTTCAGAAGCCAGATCGACTTGTGTTGCGACTTCACCAAATCAACTGTTTATCAGAACCTTTCAGAAGATCAGAAACCCTTGTCGACATCATCCACATCCTCGAGCTAGCCCGGATAGCGGCCTCAATGAACCACACCCCACCACCACCACCACCGCAATCCACCAACAGCTCGCCGGAATCCATGGAGACTGCAAGCCTCCCGGCCGTCTTCGCCACGCGTTGCGCCTCCAGCATGCTCTCGGTGTGTTCCTAACTTAGGGCCATCACCACGGCTTCGCCACCCTGTCCTAGAACTCGGGGAGGAGGCCGTCGATGAACGTAGACTTGAGGAACAAGTCAGGGACGTCCGCGCAGCTGCCGCCAGGGAACTGTCGAGGACGTCCGTGTCGCATGCAGCCTCCATTGCGCCGCCCCGTCGCTAGCTACCTGGGAAAGCTCCGCCCGCCTCCGTCGCCGGCTGCCTGAGCGCGCGCGCAAGAAAAAGAAGTAGTGGACTGGGGAGGTGTTGGGCTGAGGGAGATGGATGACAGCTAGGCCTAGGGAGGTTTTTAAATTTTTTTCTGACTGAACTGCCATGTTGGGAGTATTAGTCCGGTATAAATAGTTGCGGGTGTAAAATATCTGGTATATGAATTTAAAGGGGTAATTCTGTTGACCGTGATAGTTTAAGGGGTAATTCGTATTTTTTCTTTTTTTTAAGCATTATTAAGAACAAACCCGCGGGTATACTAGCTTCTTGCGTTATAAATTCGTATCTCCTTCGGTTTTCTTTCATTAACACCATCAAAATCAAATGTGGCATCACACGTGGGGCCCAAATTAAAATGGGAAGACAAAATAAGTTCAACTAAAACCACATAACCTCGAGTCCGTGCAACTACTATATTTGCGATTAGGGGTGAAAACGGTACGGAAACGGACGGAAACAACCTTTATCGTTTTCGTTTCCATATTTTTTTCGTAATCGGAAACCCCGGAAACGAAAACGGAAGAATGTTATCGAAACCAAAAATGGAGCGAAAACGAACCGGCGCAGATACGGTAAAGAAAATTTATCGGAATACAAAAACCCCTCAAACTGAGCTTCAAACTTTTGTCAAGATCAATTCTCAAGCCTTAGGAGTCAACAATTCATCATAAAACACAATTATATGAAGTCTAATTGTTAAGTCTCAACAGCAAAATATATTCTTCTATAACTTGATAACTTCATATAATTTGCATAACAAATATTCTAAAAAAATTTCAGCAGAACACCATGGTATAAGGTATAAAGTATACACTGTTAGCCCGTAGCCCGCAGCCTCTCTCTCCCTCCATGGGCCGGCTTCCCCTTCCCCTCCTCCCTCTTCGGGCCGCCGGCTCAGCCCTTTTGCTCCTCCCTCGCCGAGAAGTCTATTTTGCCTCCTCCTGAATTCAAATATTTTTTAGGGTAGTAAATGATTTCAAATGAAAAAATTATCAATAACAAAGTTGTATAACTTATCAAGATCAACAACTTTTGTTTTGGTCATTTTGCTATATGACTTTGTTTCAATAATTTGAATTTGAATTTCAAATTATGACAACTTCAGACAATATTTTCAAGTACTAAATGATTTCAACTGAAAAAGTTATCAACAATAAAGATGTATAACTCATCAATATCTATAACTTTTATTTTGTTTATTTCTTCATCCGACAAAGTGATAGTAACATTGTTCACAAAATTTACATATATCTCCTATAGTTTATAAACTATATAAGAGATATATACATTTTGTAAACAATCTTATAAATCACTTTATCGGATGAAGAAATGACCCAAATAAAAGTTATGGATCTTGATGAGTTATACCACTTTGTTATTGATGACTTTTTCAGTTGAAATCATTTAGTACTTGAAAATGTTGTTTGAAGTTATCATAATTTGAAATTCAAATTCAAATTGTTCAAACAAAGTCATATAGAAAAATGACCAATACTAAAGTTATATATCTTGATGAGTTATATAACTTTGTTGTTGACAACTTTCCCATTTGAAATCATTTACTACCCGAAAAATTATTTGAATTTCTTATATTTTAAAATTCAAATTTTATATAGTCCAATCAAACTCGGATGGAGAAATGACCAAAAGAAAATTGGTAGATCTTAACGAGTTCTACAACTTTATTTTTGACAACTTTTTCACACAAGTTTATTTAATATCATAAAATTCGATTCAAAGTTTTAATATTTTGAAATTAATTGTTTTTCCCTCCTCCTCCCTTCAAATTTTTTCATCTCCTCTTCTCTCTCCCTATCCTGATATTTTTACCTCTACTCACTCTCTCTCTTTCTATCATCTCCCCTCACTCTCTTTCTTTCCTTAACTCTCTTTCTCTCCTCTCCATTCCTCCTAGGACGGCGGTGACGGGAGCTGGCGGCGGTGGCAGCGGCACGGCTCGGCTGCCTTGGGCTCCGGCCTGGAGCTGGCGGTGGTAGGGGCGGCTCGGCCTGGAGCTAGCGGCAGCGGGGGCGGCGACCTCGGTCAAAGAGTGGGCGGCGACCTCGGGCGGCGGCACCGCCATCTCCTCCTCACCGCCGCCGCCGACGAGGAGGAGGAGGCGACGGGCCAGATCCGGCGGCGACGGTTCTCGTCCCGCCCGGATCCAGCGGCGGCGGGCCTCGTCCTGCCCGAATCCGACGGGTCTCGTCGGGCGGCGGCGCCACCACCATCTCCTCCTCACCTCCGCCGTCGATGACAACGAGGAGGTGGGGGGCAGGTGGCGGCAAGAGCGGCCGGCGAGCTCGGGCGACGGCTAGGGTTTCTTTTTTTGAATTCTTTTTGGAATTTTATTTTTTTTTCACGATTTAGTGTGTGGCCGTCATCGACGGTGTGGCCAGTGGCTGGCGTCGTCCGTGTTGTCTGTGGTGGCGGCGGCGGCGAAGATGTAACATCCCAGGTTTTAGCTATAGTTTTAGTCACGCTAATGACTTGATCACACTGGCTGAGAGTGGTGTTGATTGGGCCACGATGCTGGCTAGGACATATAAATATGTTGATTGTTGTTCTATTATGGATCTTAAATGATTTTTCGATCGTTTCCTTGTCATTTATTTATCAAGTCATATCCATATGCATTATTGATTTATTTTTAGTTAGAGTAAACCTGGTGAGGAGTGGGATAATTTAGTTTTGGGTTAAACTATAGCGTGGATTAGTCATCACAAAGCAAGGTACACGTGCACAGTAGAAATCACAACTGAAACTATAGTAAATTATTCACAAACTATCTGGTTATCGGTTGCATGCATGCGATACATACATACATAATATATATATCCATGCATACACATATCCATTATAGATATTGTACATATGCATCTTATACATTGTATTTATATACAACATTAATGTATAAACTCACACGCCATGCATACAAGTTAAAATACAAAATTAAATGTATTAGAAAATGTTTGTGTGATTTATGATCGCAAATTTAAATTTAGGAGGTTTGCATTCTAGAAAGTCGAAATAGTAACAATAAACGAATATTTTTGAGTTGCTACAATTTATAATTTTGCATCCAACTATTTAGGGACACAAAAATCTACAAACTGAGCCATCTCAAGCCAACTTCCAAAATTATCCATTTTTGCATACAACTCCCTGAGTTCTAGGGCAATTATTAATCAGTCCCTTAACTCTGGAGTAACCTCCAAAATTCCAAAAGCTTATGGACTGGAATGCAAAATTACTAAGTATCCCAATTTCACCAGATTTCCATTAAATTGTAAATTAGTGAGCCTCTCAAAATTATTCCACCGAACATGCCCTGGTGAGGTTTCAAAGCTAGCAGCAGCCATGTGGTCCAAGCAGGTGAATCACCAGCACCAAATGCACTGAGATAAAGCATAACAATGTGAATTATCCACAGTCTGGTAGAGCCAGCCTTGGTTGCAACGATAGACACCTAGCTACAGCTAGCAACTCCCAGTAGTACAGCAGCCATAGTAGTAGTAAGATCCCAGCAACAGCAAGCAGCCTCGGCTGGAAATCAGTGGAGATTGGGAGAAAGAGAAATAATCACAGCTAGTAGATCAGTAGTTCAACATCTCAACCATGCTTCACCACAGCCGTAGCAGCCTTGTGTGTGCAGCCAGGAGAGGCTAGAGTGAGTGAATGAGAGGTCAGAGGAGTAGTAGGAGAAGCAAGAAGGAGCAGCAATCAAGCAAGAGGATCAACACCAGGAAAAGCAAGGGAAGTAGCAGATCCAGATATCAATCAAGATTTTCACATATCTTACCATGTAAACCAAAGCAGCAAGAAGATGCTGAAGTGAGACAGCAGAGAGACCAACCTGAAGAAGGAGCAAGTGGTGTTCTAGCAGAGTTACCATTGATCCAGAAGAGCAGCAGTAGAAGAGAAGACTTGGGTTTCTGAAGGAGGGGCTGAACCACACATTTTTCAATCACTGTAGAATCATCAGAGGTAACCAAAAATTAAAATAGGGGAGGAGAGTAGATCCTGCATACATAGTATCAGCATTTGTTAGAACTAGAGTTTCATGCAGATATATACCATCCATCCTGACCAAAAACCTTAGTAATTCTAAATGGTTAAAAGTAACAAAATTTGGGGATAAAGTTAAAGATAAGTGCATGTTTTTAAATCCTGACATATATAAATTATCATAGAAGAAATCTGAATAGTAACAATAAATGCCTGTAGATATAATTCTTGAATAAAATCAACTGGTGTTCATGACATAAATTATTTAGGAATAGAGCATATATAGAAGAACCAAATCATGCATGTGAACTTATAAGCTTTCAGATCCTAGTCATGTAAACAGGGCATAACATTGACATGTGCATATACAGATATAGAAGATGAGTAGTGTGTTCCAGTAAAAAGAATCAAATTGGGATGACAAGATTAATGAGTAGAAAACCATAGATTTCTACAGTAGATAGTCTATAGCAACTGTTTAGATTTAGAACATAGCATCTGGATAAGTTGCATATATCTAATTAGTTAGACCAATAGTTTAATTACTGTCCTCATCAACCATTGTAATAAAGTAAATTATAAATTGGGTTATTAACTACTACAGCATATGGAGATGATAAACAGAACACAAGAGGCAGTAGCAGTAGATCATATAGAGGACAAAATTGCCATCTATTTGTATTCATGATAATGTTCATAGGTGATAATTTAATTAGTTATAGTACAGATTTTCTCATGATATTCCAAGTGTAGAATCATGTAATTTTCAGCATCATTCAACAAAGTTTATTCTAGGATCTAATTCTGTTACTATGTCACAAATTTCTGGAATTGAGTTATTTCATCATGCAAGTATATATATAAGGACAGAATTATGCTAATGTGCTTTCTATTTCAGTAATAAAATTCATAGGTTTATTCATGTGAGCATTCATACATCATGGGCATACAGGCATCATCCAATCTAGCAAATCCAATGACCTAGAACCCTAGAGTCAGTAATGACAATCCATATCATAGAGTTATCGAGTTGACCATTAGGATTAATTTACAAGCATCTTTAGTACACCCACAATCATATATCAGTAGTACAAAAGGGAATAACACCTTACCAATATAAACACTAGAAATTAGAGGGGGAGAGGAAGAAGTAGAGACCCGAGAGCACACTCATGGGGATAGAACAGGGCCGCCGGAGTTGCGCAGTGCTTGGCACCGGCCATCTCCACGGCAGCAGCGGCTATTGGAGAGGCGAGGGATAGTTAGGGTTTGAACAGGGAAAGAGAGGAAGGAAGGAAGGGGGGGAGAGGAGGAAGCGGCGGCGATGCGCCCTGGGAGCGCAGCGCTCGTGCGCCAGGGAGAGAAGAGAGCGAGAAAGAGAAAGGGGAAAACGGGAGGAAGGAAGAGAACGAGAAAAAGAGAGAAGAGGAAGAAGATGGGTTAGGTGGGTTGTGTTGTTGTGGGCTTTAGTAGTTGGGCTAATAGAATTTAGAGGTAGAGTTAGAAAATAAAGAAAATTAGTATATGACATTTAAACTCTTTAAATTCAAATTTAGGTCTTGCATATTCTAATGTATTATTGCAGCTACTATTTTAATTCACTCCATATGATTTTTAAATTAAATTAAAGTGTGTCTTTTTTGAAGTAGATATATGTACAACCAAATCTTTCATATTAGAAATCTAAATAAAAGTATTCCTTGAAATATATCTTATAAACTATTTTTCTAAGAAAACAAATATATTTATTTCTATGAAAGCAATATATATCTTGGGGTTGTTGAATAAAATCTGTACAGTGAATCAAATTTCTTCTAAATAAAATAATTACTCTTTCTTAAAATAAAAGTTTAACAAAAGCAAGTCCATAACCTATATAGATCATGTATGTGCATTCGGGTTAGACATATCATGTGCATCTCATTCATACAAACATTCTCGTATTTAGTTGTGTTTTATTGTTTCTTTCAGTTGGATGTTTATCTCGGATTTCTTGGAGTTCTACATTGGTTTATTCGTTCTTCGATTTCGGGTATCTTAGGCAAGTCCAACATCTTTGATCATCTCTTGTTATATTTTTGTGATTGCAATCTATATGTATCACATTGCATTAAATTATACTTTCTATGATTAAAATAAATATGCTGATGGATTGGATTGACTGGTGGAGCAGTCGGTCATACTATAGATGTATTCTGAACTTGCCATGTGGTGGGGGTTCAGTTGCATATATTTATCATCATCATAAGGTTAAACAACAACTATTATATGGCATTTAAGCGCCGTAGCGATCGTGTCGACCATATGACCTAGAATGGGACAGGCTGGCTTAGTAGTTCTTTCTTAATGGCTTTATCCTGTGGCTTAAGGACTTCCACGAATCCCGTGAGCGTGGGCTAGCGATGAGGGTTGCCGTTGTTGCAGAATCCGATTAGATGATGTGGATCGCCGTTGTTGCGGGATCCGATGATTCGCCGTTGTTGCGGGAATCACCTGCAAAGATAATTGCCAGATGGGATTGATGAAAAGCTTGTGACCTTAGCCTTGCCGGCATACACCATGAAGTGTGCTTAGGCGCTGGCGTGGTGGCGGTGTAGCGCGGGCGTTAAAAGGTTTAAGGCGTCTATGGGACAGCGACACACCTCTGCAGAGTGTATGAATTGTGATACGTCACTACCTGTTTCAGGTAGAAACTGCGAACGCGGCAGGAAAGGAACCTATCGGAGGTTCTAATACCTATGGTGCCTTATATGCAGTAGATTTTATAGTTACTTAATATGAGATTTTACTACACTGTTTTATGAACATGCATAAAACTAAACTCCTTGTTGGATTATGGGATTTGGAGATATATATGTATTATGCAGGTGGATTATGGGCATATATTTGTTGGATTGCTATAGATGGACTTGTTGAGTACCATTCGTACTTATCCCCTATATATTATTTCTTGTAGTGTTGAGCTAACAATTAGGTGAAGAGAAGATTCTACAAAATTGATCAAGTGTTGCATATCTCTACATCAATTTACTGTTGAAGGTGATGAAGATCTATAAGAGCAAGGTACTGTTAGTATTAGTATTTTGATAAAAAGCTAATTTCTTATGGTTTTTTATTTATTAGGTTTCGCTACAATTGTTTCTACTATGCTACTTTGGTGTGCTCAGTTCTTGGTAAGTTGGTTCTTACTAAGGAATGAGCCATAGACCGGTATTCTACCTCGGAAGTGGAATACGAGGGTCGCTACAGAAAATGGTGGGGGCGAGGACGGAGCGAGAGAGGAATGGCGGCGAGACGACGGGGGCGAGGTCGCGAGGAGCCGACTAGCCGAGGACGGCGGCCAGGCGGCCAGCGGTGGCGCGCTCGACCCCTGGATGCGCCGCTCCGCCACCGCCTCTCAATCTCTGGATGCGCCGCCTCTCTCGATCTCTCTCTCCTCTCTAGGGTTAGCCAATTCGGGACTTAGGGACTTGGGTTGGGCTGGGAACTTGGGGAGGAATTATGGACTATTTGGATGGGCCTTTTTAACTTCGGAAATTCCGACAAACTTTCCGGAATTTTTCCGACCGATTCTGAGTTCCGACGGAAACTGTTATTATCATATTCGATTCCGTTTCCGAAAAAATATTTCCGTTTTCGATTCCGTTTCCGAGAAATTCCGAAAAAATTCCGACCGGCTGATTCCGTTTCCAAAAACAGGTTCGGAATCCGGAAAAATTCCGAACCGTTTTCACCCCTATTTGCGATGAAGTGAAAAAGAACTAAAATCACTTCATAGCATCACTTATTAGTGTCGTTAATTCATGAGCCAATATGTCCGTCTTTGGAATCTGATCCAACAGGTTGGCCCACTTTCCGGCCAGTAGGACTCCATCGTCTAGAAGCTAATAGCAAATGGCATCTATTCTACTAGTTCGGCATACAGACCGCAATTTCATGGAGCAGCTAGTACTATTACAACCAAACCGTATGGAAATGTTGGGCCCCACCTAAATGCAAATTCCTCTCGTGGCTTATCATTCAGAATAGGGTTTGGACAGCGGACAGACTGCAGAAAAGAGGTTGGGCTAATCAGCATGTATGCCCACTCTGTCGTACTGTATCGGAGTCAGCACTTCGCCTACTCGCAAGCTGCAGGCTCTCCAAAAGAATTTGGGCTGAAGCACAAAGGTGGACTGGTATAGACCTCCGCCTACAAGAATGGGGGAATGCGCAATGGTTGAAGACTGGTGGTACAAAATTTCACGCATGGTGAACTGCCCAAGGAAGGCCCTTAAATCGATAATCATCCTGGTAGCGTGGGAACTCTGGTGTGAGTGCAATGCCAGAATTTTCAGACAAGTGGCATCTACACCTGCCACCATTATCGCAAAAATCAAAGAGGAGGCGCGGGCTTGGATCGTAGCGGGAGCGACTAAGCTAACCGAGATTATTCCAGTGGGAGAGTAGGTCTTTACCTTTTGCTTTGGGCTCGAGTTCCTCGGGCTTTGTAAATAACTTTTTTAGGTTTGTTCTCCTGCTCTATCAATATATAAGAGGTAAAGCTTTTGCCCTTTCTTCAAAATCTTTGGCCAACTTCAGTAGGCTCTGTGTTGAAGAGTGTGTCATGGTAATGGTAAAGTTATGGGAGCATAATTCTTCACTAGGCTTTAAATTAACTGAAAGAGCCCAACCTATGCCATTGAGTTGGTATTGGGTCAACAATATTGCTCATTTCTATAATATGACTAGTTTCTGCAATATAATATTGAGTCGGATATTTTTCAAAACTACCCAAGACTCCAAGATATTTTATGTATTCAAGATTTCTTTCATGTAATTTACTTTTCTTACTTTTAAGAAATAATATTTTTGTGTGGCATATCAGAGAGAAAACCATCTACACAAAAGATAATAAGACAATAGTAAAAATATTTTGTGCAGCAACTAGTATTGGAAAAATGATTCACATAAAAATGACAACACAAAAGTATTGTATTTAAGACATACATAAACTCTATGTTGTATAAGGAGGCTTAAACACTACACCAGATCCTCACATCTCTGACGGGATACCTGTGACGGGCAATCAAAATGGTCACTGATGACCGTTACCTCTGACGGGTCATACGGGATGCCGTCATCGGTGAGGCATCCGGCTGCGACCCGTCACAGGTAACTAGTCACCTGTGACGGGTTAAAAATAGAACCCGTCACAGGTGAGGTTACCTCACCTCAAACGGGTTTAAGTCCTAACCCGTCACAGGTGACTAGTTACCTGTGACGGGTCGCAGCTGGACAGCCCGTCAGAGGTGAGGTTTACTCACCTCAAACGGCTTTTAAGTCCCAGCCCGTTTGAGATGACTTCTGCCACTGTATATATATGTCTCCTCTCCCAGCGAGGCCCACATGAGGAGATAAGGCCGGCCGGCTCCCTCTTCTCCACTTCTCATCTATCTCTTCCACTTATTCTCTCTATCTCTCCTCTCTTTCTCTGTGCCATGGCGAGGGGAGGCGCGGCGGCGCCGGGCCGGCTAGGGCGGCGGCGGCCCGGCCGCCAGATCCGGCAGGGATCCGGCAGGGGCGGGTGGGGAGGTGCGGCGGCGCCGAGCCGGCGGGGGCGGCGGCGGCGGCCCGGCCGCCAGATTCGGTAGGGGCCGGAGGGGAGGCGTGGCGGCGCCAAGCCGGTGGGGGTGGCAGCGGCGGCCCGGCCGCTAGATCCGGCAGGGGCGGGTGGGGAGGCGCGGCGGCGGTCCGGCCGCCAGATCCGGCAGAGACGAGGGGAGGCGCGGTGGCGGACAACGGATCTGGAGCCGTGGCGCGGTGGCGGCCGACGGCGGGAGGGGAGGCGGCCGAGGCCCGACGGCAGCAGCGGTCTCCACCTCCGCCGCCTCTGCCGGCGACGCCTCCAGCCGCGCCTCCGCCTCCGCCCTCTGCCAGCAAGTCCTCTTTCACCCATGTATTTTATCTTGTGTTGTTCATATTGTTCCAATTGTTGCTACTGTGATTGATGATTCTGAGTCCTATGGTGATTGAGATTCTTATGATTTTGTTTTGTGATTGGGACAACTGTGATGGAACAAAGAAGAATTGTGACGATTTTTTTGATTTGTGAATGCCAAATGCAATCGGTCGAAATGAATGTGATGGTAACCTAGGAGGACGGTGTTTCTCTTTTTTTTCCCCTTTTTTTCACACCAGTGACGGCCCCAATTAGTTGGGCCATTTGAGGTGACTCTAACCTGTGACGGGTTTTGGTTGGGACCAGACAGAGGTAACTCTCACCTGTGACGGGTTTTAGTTGGGGCCGTTTGAGGTGGCTCTTACTTCTGACGGGTCTTCACCCGTCAAAGGTGACTCAAGTCATCAGTGACCACTAATCTCTGACCGGGAGCTGAACCCGTCAAAGTTGAGGGTTTGAGCCCGTCAGTGCTGACCTGATCCAGTGTAGTGAAAAATCATGATGTTTTGAAACTTCTAATAGGATAAATCGAAGGTCTTTTTTTTGCATTCTTGAAAAGTTGTCCACCCGGCTTGTAAAAGAATTGATAAACTCTATGCCAAATCATTGAATCTATGCATACAAATAGTTCTATACACAAAGATGCACTCTCAATAATAGAGAATTTAGTAAAGGTCATGTATTTATCATTGTCCTACGTTTTTTTAGTGTGTCCTCATTGGTGCGTGAGTGTTACTTGCGTGTAACATGGTGTGCACGAGTTTTCCACTTATTTTAGATCAAATTGGCGCACTTTCACTTTTTAACATAAGTCACTAGGACTACCATAATATATTGGAACATAGATGCGTCATGCACATTTTAACATACGTGAGTTAGCAACAACGATGGTTTATTCAACAACTCATGTATCTTTGAATATATACTTGTCTTAAAAAATATTAAACCAAGACACTGTTTGATTTATAAAGCCCTTTTTAATTTGTAGAGAAAACATAGAAAATTTAGGATTTTAATCTTATAGAAAGCCATACAAAGGCATTAGGAAAAAATATTAAATCCTATCTATTTCTTAGAAATTCTTATGAAATGGACAATCTTGTACTCTAACAGAAAAGTTAGCAAAAGCTTCGATCATCGTATAAAATTTCTTGAGCCTATTTTTTTCATTGTTTCTTCCGCGTTTCTCATGTGGTTTATTCAAACTACCGTTCCTTTAGTTTTCTTTGTTTCGTGAATCTTCAGTTTGTACTTGTGCTCGTATCAAAATCTTGTATTCTTTTTCTATTTGTTTTTTTTTTTTTAATCCTGTGTTGCCTTAAACCCCATTTGGGCTGCAAAGCTTTGTTGGTTACTTTGAAATATAAACATGTCCTTATAAACTTAATTATCGTGAAATTCATTAGTTGTTTGTTCCCATCGGAGGTCGATACAGCGAAAAAGAAGGGGGAGGGCTAATGGGCGGGTGATCGTCCACAGCAATCGCCCCCGTCCCTCCCTCTAACACGCACGTTACTTTCTTTCCCTACTGCACCGTAAATTTCCCAAAAAAAACTAGTTACAAAAAAATAAAAAAAATAGAAAAATCTAATACCCTTAAAAATATATTCATGTGCATAAACTTTACACTTATAAATATATACCGTAAACTTCGTACGTATAAACTTTTATGTATAGAAATATTCTATATAGAAAATATTTAAATCCAAATTTAAATTTGAATCGGGTATATAAACTTTTAACCTATAAATTTTAGGTGCGTAAACTTTAGATGCATAAACTTTAGGTACATCTTATCTTAACTAATTAAAAGATTCATATTTTCCGATCGTCACCTCGTCCGTGCACTTTTTCGTCCGTCCCCCACCCCCAAAAAAAAAATCCCAGAACACAAATACGAGTCTGCATCAAATTTGGATCCAAATCCTAGAGAAAACACAACTATAAGAACACAAGAACAAGAACAACATTAACACAAGAACACAAGAAGAAAAGGGGAGGGTGTGCCACCGTCGCAGGGACGCATGAACGCTGGCCCGCCGGCGGCTTCCCTCCCACTGGATCCTGTGGAGGGGAGGACGCCGCCGCCGGGCCGCCACTGCCTCCCCTCCCCTTCCGCCATATCCGGGATGCCGGAACTGGCACACCGGGTTGCCGCCGCCTCCTCTCCTGCTGGATCCGACGGAGGGGAGGGCACCGCCGCCGCCGTGACACCGGGCTGCCACCGCCTCCCCTCCCCTCCTGTTGGATCCGGGACGTCGGGTCGCTGCCGCCTCCCCTCCCACTGGATCAGTGGAGGGGAGGGCGCCGCCCGTGCCCGCCGCCTCCCCTCCCGCCGTAAGGGAGGGCGCCACCCACCACCGTCAAGCACCTGCGGGGTCACTGGTAGAGGGAGGGAGAGCGGAGAAGGAGAGAATGAGAGAAGGCGCGCTGGCGGAGGAGATAGACTGAGAGAAAGAGAGAAAGGATAAGAGCGAGCGGAAGAAACGAGGCATGTGGTGGGTGGAAGAAACGAGGCGCGCGGGTCCCACCGCTTTCTCGACGGACGCAGATGTAAAAATCACAGTGTGACTTTCAGGCCATATCCACCGTCCGTCTCATCTGACGGAGGATATTTCCCGCATGTGGTTCCTGCCTTCCTGGCCTCATTATTATTTGCTTGCTGATTCTAATCGAGGATTAATGAATCTAATTAAACAATAACTAGTAATCATGCACGTGCAATGCACGTTTTCCATGTCACATCTAACATCAACGTTACATTTTATGGTCTCCATACATATGCAGGATATTCATTTTCATTTAGTGATGAAATAAAGTTATCCAGCTTCATTTTATTTCCATTCTAAGTCGAAATGAAAAAGAAAAATACAACATATTATTGCATTCAACTAATAATACAACTAACAGTAAATAAATCACTAAAACAAAGAAGAAATTAAACCTCATTTTATTTCCATACAAAATGAAGATTAAAAAGATATTCACTCATTACAACCAAAACACAAGTGCACATGGAATTCTAATGCGGCGATGAAATTAAAAAAAAAAACACCCTCTAAGGCATATTACTTTTTTCAGCGAAACCAAGGACAAATCAATTCATTCTGTGTAGAGAGACAAAAAAAAATTGTATGGATACATGCAACCAATAAGTAATAAGATGGTTGCCCAGGTTCTAGGACATTTAAGTCTTAGATGTATGAAGAATACAAATATTCCCATCCTATTTGAAAAAAAAAAATCAGAAAACGAAATATGGATGGAGGGAGTACGACCTTACAACCGAGTGAAATTTGAATGAGACTAATGAGTTTCGAAACTAATGAGAATATAAAATTATAAATCAATGATTATTTCATATGACTCCAAACAAAAGTTCATCAAGATCACTTTAAATTGATCAAATGCTTTGAATTCTTTAGTTTGAACTGAATGCTTCTTGAACTTGAACGCCAATTCATATAAATGGGACCCATGTCAAACATCAATTTGAAAAATCCATAATTAAGGAACTTACTTAGATATCTACAAATGCTTCTTGAACTTGAACGCCAATTCATATAAATGGGACCCATGTCAAACATCAATTTGAAAAATCCATAATTAAGGAACTTACTTAGATATCTACAAATATTATAACTTACAAAGGTTGAAAATAGTTAGGAACAGGAAAAATTGAAATATATAGCAACCACATGCTTCAGACCTATTTAGCAAAACAATATGCTCTAGCATATTCCACTTTGAATGTCCTGCTTCACTTGGGCTGCAGAGAAGTGAAAAAAGTATATTAAAAACTATTAAAAGGTGGTTTGACCATAATTAAACAAATCAAAAGGCTAAGGCATGGATCAACATTAATCCGTTCATTTGAGTTTAGCTTCAGTGGTGTTTTCCAAAGCTTATAGTTACCATATCAGCCTACATTAAACATAATCATATAACAAGTCCCACCCCTACTATGTTTAAATTTCAAGTAGGGAACAATGCAATGTTCGACAGTGCCACTAAATTAAGTGAAGTGATACCTTCAAATAAATTAGTTCCCGACTGCAACAAACAAACTCAGCCTAAGTGTGTTCTCAAGCCAACACAAAGCACCAACCATAATATAAAATTCTAAGAATAATAAATACAATAGTTAAATCCATAAAAGAAAAGAAACATCAAGCTTGATTAATAGCAACCACGGACACACTACCCAGAAACTGTATCAAAACAAAGAAAAATACAGCTTCATACATACTACAGTAATACAATATCATAAGTTTTTTGCAACTAATTAAAACATCAAGATATAAAATCACTCTGACCTTGACAAGAGCTGCATGCTTGTCAAATAGTTAAAGCTTCTGTTGTCTAAAAAAATGTTTGTCAAACAGTATAATCACGACTAACCACTCGCATCATTCTAATCACCCATCACTCTAATCATTCGTGGATGAAATTTACATTTGTGGAATTTAATTTCTGAATTTAAAATTTTCTTCATACAAAATATTTTAGTTCCAGTCTATCAAGATATGGCTACTTCTAAAGATTTGATTCCCATTTGCTCCTATAATTTTCGGATATAGAATAATTCTAGTTATATATGATTGTCAGGGTTATGGATACCACATACCTAATAGTAATTGACTAAATATCGGCAGGACCCACCACATATCATGTCTTATACGGAAACAACCTTCGGATATAGGAGGAGTTCCGCATAAGGAAGGATGAATAGAGTTCTACATACTATGCAAATATATCCTAGTACCAACGATCCCCATTCTATGCAAATACCGGAATCGCGACATCAAACATCGACAATGATGAAACCTAAACCTGACTAAATAAGTAGAGCATGTTTATCCTGGAAGGACCCATGTGATATTTGTGAAAAAAATATTGACTTGCATTTAATTGTAGCATCCTGCATGCATGTGAAGGGAATATTTCACCATCATCCACAGTTGCAGCCTACATTGAAGAATGGGAAGTGCTAACCAAAAAGGAAAAAATGTTTCTCAAACGATGGGAAATTTTTACCGGTTGCACCTCATAACGTTGGTGTATATATTCACCATTTGGCGTTAGATGCATTTGACCATTGCCAACAGGGACTCCTTGCATGCTACCGTTTGGTTCACCTATGGATGGTGTCAACTCACTGTCTGCAAGCAGTAAAAATAAAACTTGAGAAAATTTCAGAATGATTCTTTTTATGAAAATATGAAATTATTCCCTTAAGGTTGTGGGTTTGAGAACAACTGGGGCACATCACTGCAGCTAATTTCTTTGGACAGCATACGAATTCTTACAAGTTACAAAGACAATTACTTTGTAGCATTGCCAGCTAGTCGTGCATTTCATATAAAATATGGCATCATCTCATACGAATTAAAAAATTATAGAAATGTCAAAGTTGAACAACGCTAAAATGAAAATGTTTAGTTGAACTAAGGATGGCAAGAGAGCACTTATATAATACTCATATGTAATGCAATATAGTGGTGACCTTTGTTGGTTGATTCACATTTGAATGTCAGGATATCATCGCCATCCATGTTTGCTCACCCATCTGCACCAACAACAGAAAATACCAATCATGTGTCCATAAGAAAAACACAAAGATCATCACCCGTTACAGAGGGACGCAGATTGGAAAAAAAGCAAGCAAAGAATATATATTCAGAAATGCACATATAAACTGTTCTAAATTATAACTACCTGATATCCTCCCCTCTTCTGTAAATTGCTCATAATTCTTACTGTATGCAGGTTAATATCGATTTGGAATCTCTAATCCCTAGGGGAAAAATTAAGGGAAAGATTTGGAAGATGAGAATCACCTTGATTTATGCATATTTAAGTTTGGTTCAATCATGCCTATTGCTGCTTGCCAGCTCCTTGCCCTCTTTGGTGAATTCCTTCTTGTTCAGAGCAAGATGCATTAGGCGCGCCAGGACTGTGTCAGTAGTTTCCACCATGGCCAGCTGTTGGCGATGACAACTGCGAGCAACATCATGGCACATTCATTTGCAGTAGATTTGCAATCAAAATTGGCACTAACCCAAGAGATCGCTAGGGTAAATACCTAGGGTTGGAGAACGTCTCTGGTGATCAACAAGGCTCAAGGCTGTCCGCCAAATGGGACGCGGAGAGGCACGCAACAGCGACCACACGGTGGAGTGTGCTGAAGCCTGCAGCCCTGGCGGTGAGGGACCCAGGCAACGGCAACAATAATCAAGCAGGCTGCGGACTCACGGTGGAAGGGCTCGGGGTTGGCAGCCTTGGTGGTGAAGTGACCAGATCCGCTTGGCCTTGGCAGTGGAGTGGCCCATAGTGGCGTCCTCGACGACGGTAGTGCTCAGGGGGCATCGAGAGCCAGTGAGGCCGCAGCCGTGCGAGATTGGGCAGCACGGCCGTCCGGCATTGGGCGCGGAAGTCAGCTGCTTGTGCATCGAGCGGAGACCACGGTTGAGGACTGAGCACAGGGGTGTCGATGGTGGAGTTGATGCGTGGCGAATCAGCGGCGGCGGCTAGGGACGACCTTGGCTCCGTCAGTGGCAGCGGTGGTGGATGGGAGGAGGACGCGGCGGACATGCCGGTGGTGGGTGGGAGGAGGACGTGGCGGCGATGGGGAGGAGGAGGACGCGAAGGTGGTGGGAGGAGGTGATGCAGCGGTTGTGGGTGGGGAGGAGTAGGACGCGGCGGCGGTGGCGGGTCAGGGAGTGGCAGGAAGGGGGATCGAACGGCGAAGACTCAGCTCTCGATAGGATAGAGTTGCTGTGGGTAGGGTGAAATCGCGGTGGACGGTAGGGATCAGAGCGATGCGGATGGACGGTACGGATTATAGCGATGCGGAGGGATCATAGCGATGCGGATGGACGGTAGGGATTGATCGGTGATTTGGCATGTAGAATTGGAGAGGTACAACTCTTCTTTTATATATATATATATATATTGATCGGTGATTTGGCATGTAGAATTGGAGAGGTACAACTCTTCTTTTATATATATATATATATATATATATATATATATATATATATATATATATAAAGTCAGACGATTCGCGTCCTTTCTCGGTTGATGAGCGTTTATTTAAAAAAACACTCATAACTTACTATATATATCGGTTTCTTATAAAAGATTTTCCAGTTTTTATTAAGAACCAGTATATATAGATATTTATAGGGTCGGTTTTTGAGTTTATAAATACATTTATATTTGTATTTTTAATATAAATATAGATGTCGGATTTTAAAAAATCATGATCTACTACTCCTAGAAAAACAAAACTCAATGGACTTTTTATTTTTGAACCATTTTAATGCACGAGGAGTTTTTTATGTCTCAGCAAGAAGAGAAACAAATCTACCATCTGAATAGCCGATACATATAACAACATAACAAACGATATGCATAATCTGCACACCATTTTGTACACCTATCGAAAAAGCATTCATCGATAACCCATAAAATGTTTGAGGCGATTTTTCAATCTCATCGACTAGGTGTGAACGGAGAAAACATGTGCAATCAGAATCTATAAAATGCAATGGATGCATGGTTCTAAGTGGGTTGATGGTCTGGTTAATGATAGGAAATGTTAAATAATATAGCTAGGGCACTTGGCCCTGTTTTTCCTAGACTAATATAATTTGTGAGCACACTTTTAAACACCTTGATCGGATACGATCCATTTGAATGGTTGTACTCTAGCTTTACAATTAAATCAGACCAACCATTAGAGAACCCTCTTAAGCATAGCATATACTCCTATAAATAGGATATTTATATATGTTGATCAGTATGTTATATAGGAGTATGAATAGAATATGGAAATTCTAATTTATATTAATGAAACAGAGGCATCCGTTTAGGATTAATGAATCAGATTTCATATGTGGGCTAAAAACGTTTTTTCAATTCCTAACTAATTTCAGTTGTTTTTTCATTTACATTATTAGTTTTAGCACTATTTTATCCACTAAAATTTTTTTATTGTAACTTATAATTTTCTCTATATTAGATTATTTATAGCTAAATTTAAAAATGGGATTAAATTACATAACTTTATTATCGTTCCGGACAAAGTTATTTATTTGTAGTTGAAAAAGTACGAGTTACCCCCTGAAGTATTGGGTGAGTATGAATTACCCCCCTAAACCTGAAAACCAGTCATTTTTCACCCTCAACTATCGATACGGATGAAAACCCCCCCAGCAGTTTTGTAAGCGGTTTTTGTCTACGTGGCAGTCCAGTCAGCAAGTTTTTTATTAAATAAAGGATAGGGCCCACCTGTCATGACATAATATTCTCTCTCTCTCTTTCCCTCTCACCCCTCTCTCTCTCTCTCTCCCGTTAGATGCCAGCGGTTGCGGCTCGCGCGCCGGCGGCAGAGCGGCGGGGCGAAGCAGCGGTGGCAGAGCGGGCGGAGTGGCGGTGGCCGAAGCATGCCGGCAATAGCGGGGCGGGCAGAGAGGAAGGAGGTGAGGAGGCCAGGGAGCGGGCTGAGGAGGGAGGAGACCGGCGAGGGAGCGTGGAGGCCGGAAGAGTCGTCGGAGTCATCCCCCAGCCGTCGCCGTCGTCGTTCGAGCTGCTCCCGCCGGAGTACGATGAGTCCAGGCTCCCCTCCGCTGTCCCCTCCTCCTGCCGCCTCGAGCTCCGGTGGGCGCGGTGGGGTGTGCGCGCCGACCTCCCGACGGTCCGAGAGAGAGGTATGAGAGGAGGGCACTTCGTCGCCCTCGCCACTTCGCTGCCCTCCGCTGCGATAGGGGGGCACGAGCGACGTCCGGCCCGCCGGCCACCGCCGCCTCTCCACCACGCCCGCCGCCTACCCCGACCCCACCACTCCCCGCCGCGCCCGCTGCCCGTCCGCGTGACGCTACCGCCGTGACAGGGGGGCGCGGGCGGCCGCCTCTCCACCACGCCCGCCGCCTGCCCCGGCCCCACCACTCCCTGCAGCGCTCGCCGCCGCGCTCGGCGCCCGTCCGCGCGCCGCTGCCGCTGTGACAGGGGGGCAGGGGCGCTATCACGCCCGCCGGCCACCGGCCGCCTCTCCACCACGTCTGCCGCCTGCCCCGGCCCCACCACTCCCCGCCGCTCTCGCGGCCCCGCTCACCGCCCGTCCGCGCGTCGCCGCCGCCACGACAGGAGGGCACGGGCGCCGTCATGCCCGCCGGCCACCGGCCGCCTCTCCACCACGTCCGCTGCGCCCCCAACCCGCCCGCCGCTTGCCCCGGCCCCACCATTCCCTGCAGCGCCCGTCGCCGCGCTCGCCGCCCGTTTGCGTGCCGCTGCCGTCGCGCACTGCCCGTTGACGCACGCCTGAGAGAGAGGAGGGGGAGGGGGAAGACTGAAGAGAGGTAATGACAGGTGGGCCCTTGTGTGTGTGTGTTTTTTTTTGCTGATTGGATTTCCACGTCGACGGTACGTGTATGCCACGTAGGAGCAAAACCGCTTAGTATTGAGTCGGGGGGGGGTGTAATTCAGCCGGTATCAATAGTTTGAGGTGTAATATATCCGGTTTTATGGTTCGGGGGGTAATTCGTACTGTCAGAATAGTTCAGGGGGTAAAACGTAATTTTTCCTTTGTAGTTCAATATTGTTGTTTATACGTTTATACTTTCTTCATCATTTATGCCCAACTATAGAATATCCTTTAGGATTTTAATTTATGCCAATGAATATTATTTAGCACTCGTTGCAACGTACGGATATTATGCTACTAAACTTAAAAAAGATAAACTATATGGAGAAAAAAAAAAGAAGAAAATAGTGGGAAAAAATCGATCGCCCCATGCGAGCGCTAATTAGCGATCTCGAAAAGAAGCGCACGCACACATATGCCACGCATTGACGCATGGCACGGGACATTGACAACTGATGCCGTCCCGGAGACCGGGCGCGTCGATACAGCTAATACCCGACCGCAACGTGGCGCGCTGACGCTAAAAAAAGGTTGCGTGAAAACGGGAACGCATTTGCTTTCACAGTGGCGCTACGCTACTGTACGCGCAATCCCGTTCCCTTCCTATTGATAAGATAGGAAGGAATCGTCATCTTCATTAGCGTCCTCAGTAGTACTCCCCACCATCACCGCAGCACAGCAAGAGGCGTAGTTGCGCCAGCCATTCCCCCTTCCATTATTCATCCTCCACCTCAGTACAACTCCGGAATTCTCCATCCAAATCTCAACCATTCCACCTCGCGTAGTCGCGCCGCATCTCGCATCGGGGAGGGGGGAGGGAGGGGAGCAGGCGATCGATGGCGGGGAACGACTGGATCAACAGCTACCTGGAGGCGATCCTCGACGCGGGCGGGGCCGCGGGGGAGATCTCCGCCGCGGCGGGGGGAGGTGGAGATGGAGCGGCGGCCACCGGGGAGAAGCGGGACAAGTCGTCGCTGATGCTCCGGGAGCGGGGCCGGTTCAGCCCCGCGCGCTACTTCGTCGAGGAGGTCATCTCCGGGTTCGACGAGACCGACCTCTACAAGACCTGGGTCCGCGTAAGCGCGTCTCGCCTCTCTCACTCTCCGTGCACCCGTCGTCGCTGCCCTTGTTTTCGCTGATCTGCCCCAAAGTTTTCGCTAATCTCGCTTACTCTGCTTTTGTCTGTTTAGACGGCGGCGATGAGGAGCCCGCAGGAGAGGAACACGCGGCTGGAGAACATGTCGTGGAGGATCTGGAACCTTGCCAGAAAGAAGAAGCAGGTATATGCATGTTCCGGTGAATCGACAGATGAGCCACTTCTCTTATTATCTACTCCCTCTTCCCAAAAAAACAAACCCTGGTTGTCCTGGGTTTCCCTTCTCTTATATGAATTTTTTTTATAATTAGTATTTTTATTGTTGTTAAATGATAAAACATGATTAATACTTTATACGTGACTTGTCTTTTTAATTTTTTTCATAATTTTTTCAAATAAGACGGACGGTCAAACGTTGGACATGGAAACTCAGGGTTTGTCTTTTTTTGGGACGGAGGGAGTAAATATTTTGCCCAGCATACTGCGCCTTTAATAAACATTTCTACGACAGTTACATTGTATAGTGACGCTGGTTTGACTGGGGGGAGTGTCAACTCTCTGCACCCTGGCCTTGGCATGGAGATTGTGTTAACTGCCGTTGGTAAAATACTGCTAGTTGTGGCCTTATGGGTTGTTACCATGTTAGCCTTTGTTGCATGCAGGGAATACTTCATGCTACTTGTGCTGCATTTGACTTGACTCTTCTGGTGGTGTTGTAGATTACCATGATAGTATCGTGGGTATCCACATTTTGTCTCAAGTGCCTGCTAGCTGTGTGTTATTTTTTTTTTTGCTGATTCTAGTATTTGCTAGAAAATCTGTCTTTTGGTGTATCTGGAGGAATTTCTCTCGTGCCAGAGAACACGTACATATCCCTGCTTGAGGAGGTACACTGTACAAGTGTGTATGTACAAGAGTGGAACTCCATTGTGTATCTTGGCGTTCAGGTTGAACGAAGTTGCTTTAGCTGCATTGATTGTTTATATATTATATACATCAAATAAAAACAGATTAGTTGTGAATGAAACTATATGCATGTTCTTGCCTTTCTCTAATTTATACAGTGCAGTTTTCATCCAAATAGATGGTTTCATGTCACTGCTTAAACTAGGGTACTACCTGCTGATGAGTAGGATTACAGTTGTCATGTAGTTAACTAATGTTTTTCTTTCTAGGTTTTCTAATGCAATTCATGATGCTTAAACCCATCACGTGCGACAATGTTATGTTAT